AAAATTCCAGACCGGGTATGCATAGTCCCGCGCCTGGCTGAGGTACCGCGACAATTATGAACATGGAAATGCAAACATTGTTGCACTACCAACATCACTGTAACCGTAACTGGTAGTGTGTCCCTATAGGATGTGTAAGACGACTGTTATGCTACGAGCTTCAAACAGTGTGTACTTTCTCGGGTAGTTGTGTTTAGAGCAAACCCGAAACATGATTCGATACAGCAGTGCATGACTGGATTTACTGTAACGACGACAATAATAATTTAGTCGATAAACGGCTCAGTGCATGCGTCAGGTTATGTTATAAATGTATACCTTTCAAGTGATTTGGTGAAACTAAAGGGGTTTCAACTAAGTTTTGCAAACAATACAACTTATGTACGCAATACTAATTAATGGTTTACATAGTGACACGTTGTTTATGCCCACGGAATGGAATAGTTATACTGCCTTATATGATCAACAATTCACGATCGTCAAGCTAAATCTATTTCTGCTTCGAATGTGGTCGTTGAACTAACACTATACACGAAGACGTGCAAAACTAACTTCTAAAATAGAATTTGTATTTTCCTACCTCTTTCGGCAAAGAGAGAGCTATGCCAACCACTGCAATTAAAACGAGAATACGCAGCATCGTTCTTTGGCTCAGTTGAACACTAAAATTCGAAAGTGTTTCAAAAACTTGCGAATACCACACTGCACTGGTACACTGAGTGTATATATTCATTTTAGATACGTTTTTTATGAATACAGATTAGAGTTAATTCTATTGGATACTGAAAAGAACGATATCCGTATTGTTGAATTACTTTACTGATACAGATTTAATTCTTTTGGAAAGAAAGCAGATTAAAAAGACTGGTTCTAATGCTCGACAATAACTAGATTCACACGTCGTGTTAGGTGTATCAACTAGTCATTAAGCATGTAGTATCCGCTTCACAAATAACGAGATGTTACAACAAATGGCACAAATGTTGTAGTATCCGCTTCGCAAATAAAAAGATCGTACAAATGTGTGAAATTAGTTAGTTTAAAACGTCACGTCAATGCACTGCACACATGTTGTCTCCATGGGTCTTCTGATTTGAATATTAGTGACCATATGTTGACTGATTTCTGCCGTTGGTGGCGTGGCTGAGAGCGTCGAACTAGTCTCTGCCACAGGAAACATTTTACACAATCCTAGTATTTATAAATACGCTGTATTACTTTTTCACTGTTTTAACACTGAAGTAAATATTTTTCGTTTCGCTGGAACGATCACGGTGCTGATAGCATTGCGATGCAATGGATAAATACCATTGCGGTGCTGTCATCAATAACTAACTTACACGAACGAAATTAAAATACACACACGTAAAATGCTCGTTTAATTGAAAATAAAATAATACCCTGGAAATTACAGAAAAATCGGCAATGAGATGCTGTTTTTAAACACCGAAAAAAAATCGAAAACTCCCTACACAGCTAGCATTCACCGGTAACGATGTCGCAAAGTACGGCGACCTGGTACTAAGGAACTCTATGAATGAGATATTTTCAGAGGCTAGGATTCGTTTAATTTGTATCCACCCGTCTCGTCTGTAGTTAAACAAAACCTGTCTCAATTTACATAACTTCCTTTTCCAATGCGACTTCACCGGCTTCACGTAAGCCATTGTGTCCCTTCCTCAGTGGACATGGTAACACGACGCTATTGCAATTTTTAAGCAAGGTTTTGACTTCGGGACGATTTTAGATACGTTTCTCTCGAATTGAATTTTTTATCTTACGATTTAACATTAGCAAGCGTCAGTGTGTGGTGGACTTTGGCATGTCGTCGTGATGTTATAGCCATGTTTGTGGTCGATAAACATCACTTTCGTGGAAACGGGCATTATCTTCGTGTTTTCTGGCTGGTCAGAGATATTGAAAATTAATTAGCTCCCAAAGTTTTTGTCAGTTTGTCTTCAAATATACACACTATTTCGACGATGTATCTACGACCAAAAGATAGTCTGGGTTTATTTTTAAAGCTTTGAGTGCTCAGACAATGATATTTGAAGTGTAAAATATTTACCGGGATTAAATATAGGGCACACATTCTGCTTCACAACTTTGTAATATGAAAACATACTATATATACGCATGGACGCTGAATTGTTAATAAACAACTGATAAACGTACTGTGTGAAAGTTTAATTGTGAGGGCTGTTTAGATTTGAATTTCCCTGGCAAACTACAATAATCTACCTACAATAAATCTTTACATGGGGCTCACAATATTAACATATGTGTAATGACTGAATTTGAGATTCTGGGATAGGGAATACAGCAATTGCAACTCTTTGTAATTGTATTGTTAGTTCTGAACTAAAGTGGCTAATAGACCCTATGTACAAGTCAAGTGCCCTCTTGTGTTAAATAATTCGGTGAAGGCAGTGTCCTCCAATTTGCAGTTCTAATAAATATCAGTGTCTGACATGTATGTGCCAAATTTGAATGGAAACTGACAAAGCATGTCCAATATACCACATTAAAAAAAAGAAGTCTGCCTGTATGCCATTTTGAATCGAATCGCTAAACTACTACAGGTGCATATGTTCCACATAAAGTACTGGGCACATGCAAAGAAGAACGGAATCGGTCCAAAGGATTCTGGACGGACGGACGAACGGACGAACGAAGCCCATATTATAAGTCCCCGTTTTCGAACTTCGTTAGTCCACACTCTTCAAGTATTTTTAGTTGGAAAGAATCCAATTAATTTGATTTACTAGAATAAAAAATTACAACATTTTGAAAATTAAGTGCAACTGGTGACTTCAATGCTCGCACTAAGAGCGACCAACACTGTCATTTACAGTAGTCTTGATTAGCAGTGATCAGAACAAATACATCATTAAAGCAAAGAAACTCTCAAGATTTAACACAAAATAATTATGATAAGATTTTCTTAGATCTTTGTACAGAATCTGACCTGGATATTCTAAATGGCAGATGCATAGGGGACTATACTGGCAAATTCACATCACCAGACAAATTGGAGTAGCACAATTGGCTAGACTATTGTCAGCTACAATTTATTAAAAAAAATAAAACTATTCTATATACATCTTTTAAACATATCTTTCACAGACCATTGCCAAATTTGCTGTCAAATACATAATTATATTGAGCATCTGGTGAATGATGTAAAATAAAAAAAAAATTACACATCCTAAGAGGGCTAGCTGATACATAGTAGATCTTCTTAGTATGTAGAAAGATATCATTAAACTATCATCGAAGCTTAGCTCAGATCTCTATAATCAAGAGAAAAGTGTGTTAACGATATAAACAATTAGTCAAGGAAAAAAGAAGGGCATTTAAAAACAGCATCCTCACAAAGCTTGACAATTTAAGCCAACCAAAACCAAGTGACCATGTGAATTTAATTAATGAGTTAAAGAATAACTCTCAAGAGAATCAGTGACAAAAATATGGTTTGATTACTTTAAAGTGTAAATGTAAGTTCAGACAATCAAAAAGCAGATCAAAGCATTGAAGGTGAACTTGAGGTTATGAAAAACAATGAACAATATCTAATGGTTTTAGATCATCCAATATCACCCAATGTACAAAAATAAATAAATGATTTGAAAAACGAAAAAAACACCTGGTGCTTGTAACAAACGAAATGATTGAATCACTTTTCAGACAGCTATAACCTATGTATTATAACTCCTATTGTGAAGAAAGTGGATCCAGGTAACTATATGGGTAATTAAATTCCTTCAGAAAATTATTCACAGTAATTTTAAAATCAGGAATGACTAAACATCGCAATGATGAAAAAGTATTAAAAAGGAACAAATGGGTTTCATGCCAAAGTTCAGGTCATCTGATTATATATTTTACTTTAAACAATTAGTCACAAAATATCTATCCAAGGGTAAATACATCTGTGTATGTTTCATTGGCTTCAAGAAAGCCTTTGATTCTATTTGGCGCCGTGATCTGCTTTATAAGCTAATATAAAATAATATTTCTGATTAATTTAATCGAATTAAATCAATGCACATAAACTCCTTAGGCTGTGCCAAGGTCAAACATGGCCTCACTGAACAGTTTAAGGTACAGTTTAGAATAGGAATTCAACAAGGTGACAGACTAAGCTCCATAGACATAGACTCTATTAACAGCGATCCGCCAACACTTCTAAACAGCCAGTTACCACGACTTTTATATGCTGACTTAGTCCTATTGTCAAATTCAGGTCTAAAAATGCATTGAATGCTTTAGAGAAATAATGTACAAAATGGCACCTGAAAATCAATACATTAAAATCAAAGACCATTGTTTTTAATATATAATTCTTTCTACACATACCTAGACATTGAACTAAATTACGCCGGTAAATTAAATAACGCTCCAGAGGAAGAAAAGCATGTTTTAGGCTGTATGTTCAAACTGTATTCAATTAAACTTAAATTCAAACGCTACCATATATTGAATTACATTGTAATTGAGTTTAATTAAACTCTAATTAAAACGTTTCAATCGAGTTCATATCGCAACGATATTAAAAGTTAATTCAACAATATTAAAAATTACTCCAATGTGTGGCGTTACACGATGGTAAGACGTGTATGTTGGGGAACGCGTGGTTACACTTCCATTACAATACACTTCTTACAAAATGACAATAATATTTAAATTTAACATTAAATTGGTTTTTATTAGATTAGAAATTAGATTAATGGTTTGTTAAATACAATTCAATATTTTAATATTGCTACTCAATTTTAGTTGATTTAAAAAAATCAAAAATATATCAGTAGGGATGCTAATTTGGAAAGTGTAGGATGTTTGTAGCTCCATATTTTGTTGTATAGTGTCATTTGAACAAAACATATACACAGCTGACATATTAATCGGTGAAACAAAATAATAACGATTCAGTTGTGTATAATATAACAGCGTGTGGATCACATCAACCTTTGTTATTTGACGATATTCTAGCAAAGCAGACACAACAAACCTACTAATCATTGTTACAGCATTAGTAAAGTCTCGCCTGATTTAGGTACGATAGTCCTAATGGGACTGAACAGAATAAAAGAAATTGACGTCGTGGAATAAATTAAGATGGTGGCATGTATTAATAAAATGTGTTACTTTAATTCGACCTATGGCCGTTAAACATTGGTGAAGACTGTTAATAATAATTTAAAACACCTAAGTAATAAACATGAAATTAACTACTATAAATTTAAATGTCAGAACCAGTGTATATTAGAAGACGGAGGAAACATTTGTTTGCATTTGAAAAGTTTGTTTTTATGTGTAACGGCGAAAAATTAGTTTTTTTGAAAAGTTATGTAAAGCGATCAGCTCGTTTGACTGCCAGACATCTGGTGCCCTCAGTTTCACTGTTGTCCGGTATAATTGTAACAACAAATTAACAACATTTTTAAAAACAATCAGTGTGGAGTTTAATGCAACAAACCAATTTACAATGTAAATTATTCTATTTGTGACCAATCGTTGATTGTGATGGATCGTTCGTATAAATGTCAGATCCTGTAGACAACAATTTAAAACAAGATTTGGATGGTAGCTACTTGAACAATTGTTAACAATATACCTACATCTAAAACATGCAATATTTAGGTCGGTGATTGACCAGAACTCGTGTTGAACGTTTCATTGTTAAT